TTCTTTGTCCAGTATTACTTTATAATACGTTTTGTTCAAAACTGGTGCAGGTTTAACTTGGAGAATTATTTTAATAACAAAAGATATCTTGAGCCAGATAAATAGTGTAAATGTACATTATTAGAAAACAGGCAAAGTGCAGCATATTATAGTGCTTGTATTATAGATGCCCAGTAACTTCAATAACAGAACAAACATACCATCTTTAAAAAAAATTTTAGATATTGAAATCAAAATTTTAGGCACATTTAACTCCAAGAACAAAAAAATTAGCAATACTACATGTTACGAGTCCCTGTGGTGTCAGCAGGGCCAGCGCTACAGCTAGGTGAACTAGGCAGCTGCCTAGGGCACAGCCACAACCAGTGCCACATTCCTCTCCTATAACCTCCTTGTCCCCAGTGAATGTCACCTCTAGATCTGCTGTCCCTCCCCCACACACACCGGAGCACCTGCACACAGGGGCTGGAAGACCAGATGGAGGAGTTCAAGTGTGGGGTGAAGAGGCAGCTGGAGGATGTGGTGATGTGCCTGGCAAGCCCCCTCTCTTGGTCCGTCATTGACCTGCAGTGTGAGAACTGGAGGCTGTGGAAACAGGTAGACAAATTCAGCTGCCAGGTGGAACTGTGGAAATACAGAGCCGGGTGGTAGTTGGGGAAGGACAGACCAGGTACTCCAGCCATGCGCTGCTCACTGTGTCCAGCAAGGTAGCTCAGGCCAGTTCAATGAGGGGGCAATACACATCATAGGGGGGTATAGAAAGTATATTTTAGAGGTATAGATGTTTTGGGGGTTTTTTTGGGTAGGAGGGGGGTGCAATTAGCTGGTTTTGCCTAGGGCACAAAATAGTCTAGCTCCAGCCCTGGGTGTCAGCATTAGTTTACATTTTCAGGCTCAGAGCATTTCCTGCAAATACAGAAAAATACTTGCTGATCTTGACAGAAATCTTGTGTTCTTTGCACAGAGCAAATCTCAAACTATGGTATCAGCTCACACTAATCTCCTTTGTGGACTACAGAATACCCCCACGTTATGGAGATGAGGAGGGGGGGAGGTGTTTGTTGTTCAAAACAGGAGAGCAGCCTAGGGTGACAACTCTGCTGCTCCATAGATACACTACAATGACTGTGTAGTGTTCCCCTTAAATACGGGTGTCAAACTGGCGGCCCTCTAGCTGTTGCCAAACTACAAGTCCTATAAGGCACTGCAAGATTGGCAGTTACAAGCATGACTCCCAAAGGCAGAGGCATGATGGTGACTTGTAGTTTCGCAACAGCTGGAGGGCCGACAGTTTGACACCCCTGCCCTAGAACACTGTTGCTGACATAAAGAAAATTCTTAAAAAGGTACCACATCTATGGACTAGTAAGCTGAAGTATATAACATTTTTGTTCTTGGATTTAGATTCTCTTTAAATACTTTGAATATCGAACAAAAATGTATTTTTTTCAGCTTTTGGATAGAGTAGGGATAGGATTAGAATATCTGTCAGGATGTGGCTATTCAGAAAGATCTCATCTCACTCCCTAGGGCAGGGGTAGGCAACCTGTGGCTCTCTAGCTGTTTTGGAACTACATTTCCCATGAGGCATTGCAAAGATTACAAAACTGACAGTTACAGCTATGACTTGCAGAGGCATGATAGAACATGTAGTTCTGCGGCTCTCAGGTTGCCTACCCCTGCCCTAGGGCAACAGTTTCATCAGACAGGAAGTGAGTAAAAATCTGCACCAGGGAGACAGCCAGAAATAAAATGCTAATAGGTGTTCCAGCATTCCCCTACTTTACAAGAAAAGCATTTATATTTGTGTCTGTGTTGCAGTTGGAGACTTCATGTCAGATGAAATCATTGTCACTGTGGCACTAAAGTTGGCCATACATGAATCGAAATTCAGCTAGCTAGGTAATAACCAGTCAAATTATGATCCATGATCCCGTTCATGAGAAGTGGATCTATCGATTGACTTCTTATAGACGGTCCTGCTAGAAAATTTTTGCTCAATCAGCACATGCAGCCAATGGCCTGCAGCACTGATTAGTGCATCATAATGGCAGGGGAATCCCACTGTCAGGATACAGTGACACAGCAAAAGTATCTCTCTTAAATGTGTTTGGTGGATTCTGTACAGATATCTCTCTACTGCAGTGCCATATCGCCAGAAAACAGGGATTCTAATCATTCCCCTTTATATCAAGAAAAAAAAAAGGCTGGGCACACACATAGTGTATATCAGAAAACGTCAACTACTACATGTCTTAAAAAAAAACTTTATAGCTCCATAGGTAAAAGTATCATCCATGCGGTTAGCTAACGGTGTGTGAATCAGAATTGAAGTAAAGCAAGGTAAACAGCCAACATATTTGTGCTGCAGCTGTGAATTTAGTTTCTTTTTTATGCAATTCCACTTGAATAAGTCTTAACTCATAACCTTGACACTTCATAATTGCATGAAATTTTGGCCACCATTCAACATAGCACTACAAAAACATCATGATCATAAATTCTGAAGTCACTGTCAATCCCAATGAGCATCATAATTTGACCTTGAATGTGTTCTAACATATGCCTTGGTGCTTGAATTGATAGAAATTGGAATGTGACTATCAGGAAAGTAATATTTCCTGTGACAAATCTGGTCTCTGACAGTTCACAATCTGGGGTGCTTTCCAGACACTTTGGAGGTAAAATTATATCAGAATCAAACTGCAAAATGATGATTCACCTGCAAAACGATCTCTAGCAACTCATTCTGTAGTACAGTGGTTCTTAACCTGGGTTCGATCGAACCCCAGGGGTTCGGTGAGTCAGTCTCGGGGGTTCGGCGGAGGTGACCCACACCCGACTCATATGATTTGTGATGACATGCCCCGCTTGTCCATCATTGGCTGCAGGTGGTCACGCCCAGTGGTCGGCAAGCCGCGGCTCTTGTGTGCCGGGCGCCCGCTCCCCTCCCTCCTCTCGGGCGGCAGGGACTCAAATGCAATGATTGGCCAGTCTCGCTGCCACTCACATCCTGATAGCCAGTGATTGGCTGTCAGGATGTGTGTAGGCGGGGCAGCATGACGAACGTGAGAGGAGCTAGGCTCCTCTCACAGTCCGCCCTGAAGACCGGAAAGGCGCGGGAATACAGCGAGAGGAACGCGCGGAGCAAAGGTAAGTGAATTGACACAGGGGGGACTTGGGGACTTAATATGGGGGATGAATTAATATGGGGAATGAATTACTATAGGGGGGATGAATTACTATATGGAGGATGAATTACTATATGGGGGATGAATTACTATATGGGGGATGTATTACTATATGGGGGATGTATTACTATGGGGGATGAATTACTATATGGGGGATGAATTATTATATGGGGGATGAATTACTATATGGGGGATGTATTACTATATGGGGGATGTATTACTATATGGGGGATGAATTACTATATGGGGGATGAATTACTATATGGGGGATGTATTACTATGGGGGATGAATTACTATATGGGGGATGAATTACTATGGGGGATGAATTACTATGGGGGATGAATTACTATATGGGGGATGAATTACTATATGGGGGAGGAATTACTATAGGGGGAATTAATTACTATATGGGGGATGAATTACTATATGGGGGGATGATGAATTACTATATGGGGGGATGAATTACTATGGGGGATGAATTACTATGAGGGATGAATTACTATGGGGGATGAATTACTATGGGGGATGAATTACTATATGGGGGATGAATTACTATGGGGGATGAATTACTATATGGGGGATGAATTACTATGGGGGATGAATTTTCATACCGTTTGTTACAACATATCTTTGCGAGCAATCCTTTTCGAGGATGCTGGACATAAAGACGAAGAAAAGGAACAGACTTTGTTGCGAAAATGACATGAGAGTGGCACTTGCCAAGGTAATGCCGCGCATTTCTGAACTGGCCTCTGAAAGACAACAGCAGAAGTCACACTGATTTGCGGTAAATATTCATTATTTTGTTTTTGTGTGAAAATCATGTTTTAATGGTTTTGTTCTTTGTTCTTAATGGTTTTGTTCATTTTGTGCACCTATGTATAAATATATACCTATGTTTTGAATTTTAAAAATCATATTTTATTTTTCCAATTAAGAAGGGTTCGGTGAATGCGCATATGAAACTGGTGGGGTTCAGTACCTCCAAAAAGGTTAAGAACCACTGCTGTAGTATAATAAACAATTTCAAGATCTGAGCATAAACCAAAAAAAAAAGGGAACATACTTTGGGGTAATAAGGTGGACTTTTCAATAAGACATCCAATAATTTAGTATAAGAATTTCAAAATCTGTTTCCCATTCATTTATAACTGCCATTCAAAAAATATTTCTAAAAGCTTTTACTCTTTTTAATTCTACCTATGTACATTCCAGATATTGTTCCTCAGATCAATAGGCAACACATGTACATGCTGCATTTCATAGATCCAAGCATATGGATCTACACCAAAGGGCTATGTCTATCACACAAGCAATTTTGTAGCAACTGAAGAATGTCTATTAATGATTTTGTTGCTGGTAATAAAACCAATGGCAGTCAATAGGCAGGCTCTGCGGAGAATCTTAAACATTTTCACATTGCCACAAAATTGCCTGTTTCAGTAGTTACTTGTGCTTCAATGCTATTAATGGCCAGGTGGCACCAGCAATTTGTTGGTAATGGCCATGTCACACCAAAAACTTGAAGATATATTTTTGTATACTATAATTAGCTATAGCAGATTTTCTCAGCCAGGATTATATGGAACCCTGGGGTTCCTCTAGAGTAGCGGTTCTCAACCTGTGGGTCACGACCCCTTTGGGGGTCGAACAACCCTTTCACAGGGGTCACCTAAGACCATCGGAAATCACATATTTCTGATGGTCTTAGGAACAGATACACCGTCTCCAGGCGGGTCCGCCCACATGCAGATATGCCCACATTTCCCTGGACCGCGATGTATGGGCGGGTTGACATGCCGCCCCTTTCATCTGACCACACCCCTGGGATCACTCAACAGCTCCGCCTCCTCGCCGGTGATTGGCCGCCAGAACTGTAGCACAGGAGAGGCACACAGGCGCCAATCACCGGCGACGAGGTGGAGCTTGGAGAGGAGGAGCCAAGTGGCAGAACGAAGATAAAAGAAGATCGAGTGAGGGAGCTGCCGGAGCGAGTGAAGAGGAGAGTGGCCGGAGAAGGAAGACAGCTGACCGGTAAGTGTCTGTACCGTGTAGATGGTGCTGCTGCAGCCAGGTATACTGCCTGTAGATGGGAGAGGGAGGGAGCGAGCCCAGGCTGGAGCAGGGGTCAGCAAGGTAATTATCATTGGTGTCAGTGGAAGGAATAGTGCCCCATCAATGGTGTCACTAATACCAATGATGGGGCACCATTCCTCCCACTGACACCAATTATGGGGCACTATTCCTCCCCCCACTGACACCAACGATGGGGCACTATTCCTCCCCCCACTGACACCAACGATGGGGCACTATTCCTCCCCCCACTGACACCAACGATGGGGCACTATTCCCTCCCCCACTGACACCAATGATGGGGCACTATTCCCCCCCCCACTGACACCAATGATGGGGCACTATTCCCCCCCCCCACACTGACACCAAGGATGGGGCACTATTCCTCCCATACTGACACCAATGATGGGGCACTCTTCCTCCCACTGACACCAACGATGTGGCACTATTCCTCCCACTGATACCAATGATGGGACACTATTCCTCCCACTGATGCCAACGATGGGACACTTTTCCTCCCACTGACATCAGTGATGTGGCACTACTCCTCCCACTGACACCAATGATGTGGTACTACTCCTCCCACAGCAAAATTACAGTTATGAAGTAGCAACAAAAATAATTTTATGGTTGGGGGTCACCACAACATGAGGAACTGTATTAAAGGGTCGGCATTAGGAAGGTTGAGAACCACTGCTCTAGAGGTTTCTAAGCAATTTCTGCCTCTAAAATAAGTAACCACTGGCACCAAAGATCTTTTCAGCTTTCTGTAAGGGGGGCATTCTTCCCAATGACGAACAATGGAAGGAGGTTTTTTCCCCACTTATCATCCTGCTAATGTCCTGTGAGCTGTATATATAGTACTTATTGGCAGATATTCCCCCAGACCTGTGCAAAACTATGAAAGGTAAAGCGCTAGCGCTTTACATGCCTATACATACACAGAATCATGTATTATCATGTGTAAATAAATGCTCCCACAGTGTGACACATACAGAAATAACCAAAATGTCCAAATCAAGTTTAAATAAGTCCCTAATCACCATATTCTTGTGAAAGGAACATTTAAGTGACCAAATCTGCTTTCAAAACCAAATAAAGATGCTCCACCATGTGGACAGCTGAATTGCTCACTCATTAAATCACAGCAACCAACAGAGCAGCCAGCAAGTACTAGAAGTAGGATACTGTGCTTACAAGTGGCAGTGTGAGGGAAAGAATCCTCCTAGTGAGCCGTTTGTGTTGGTGCCCCCTCTGGCACCTGTATCTTGTGAGTGCATAATGATCTTTGATTTTATCCTCATCCTTTAGAAGAGTGGATGATGTGTGGCATAAGTTTCTAATATTAGGCATAACATTCCAGGATAGTAGAAGCACACCCCCAAATGACCCCTTTTTGAAAAGTAGACATTCCAAGGTATTTGCTAAAGGGCATGGTGAGTATTTTGCAGATCTCATTTGTTGCCACACGTTTTTGGAAATGAAAGAAAACAAAAATATTTTTTTTCTTTTCTAAAACCCTGTAACAAAAATGATATCTGAAAAATACTCACCATGCCTTTTATCAAATTCCTTGGGGTGTCTACTTTCCAAGAAGGGGTAATTTGGGGGGGGGGGGTGGTGTTTGTATTATCCTGTCATTTTAGGGACTCCAAAACTGTGATAGGTAGTGAGGAAGTAACATGAGGAAATTTGCCCTTTGTAGGCCTGAAGGTGGTAATTGGATTTTGTGGGTCTGTATGTGACTAGGTTGCCAAAAAGTCTCTCACATGTGGTATTCCCATACTGAAGAGAAGTAGCAGAATGTGTTTTGGGGTGTTATTCCACATATACCCATGGCATGTATGAGCAATATATCATTTAAGTGACAACTTTGAAAAGAAAAAAATTGTTTTGTCATTTTACAAACATTTTGGGTAAAGTAAAATCTTCCATGGATTCAAATGCCTCTCAGCAAATTTTTTGTGGTGTCTACTTTTCCAAAAAGGGATAATTTGGGGGGGGGGGGGGAGGAGGGGTTGTACTGCCCTTGCATTTTAGCACCTCAAGAAATGTGATGGGCAGTCAGAAAGTAAAAGCTGCATAAATTCCATTATACACTATATTGCCAAAAGTATTGGGACGCCCCTCCAAATCACTGGATTCAAGTATTTCAATTACTTCCATGGCCACAGGTATATAAAATCAAGCACCTAGGCATAGGCATGCAGACTGCTTCCACAAACATTTGTGAAAGAATGGGTCGCTCTCAGGAGCTCCGTGAAATTTAAGCGTGGCTCCGTGATAGGTTGCCACCTGTGCAATAAGTCCATCCGTAAATTTCCTTGCTACTAAATATTTCACGGTCAACTGTTAGTGGTATTATAACAAAGTGGAAGCAGCTGAGAACAACAGCAATTCAGCCACAAAGTGGTAGGTCATGTAAAATGACAGAGTGGGGCCAGTGCATGCTGAAGCACACAGTGCGCAGAAGTCGCAAACTGTCTGCAGTAGCAAAAGACCTCCAAACTTCCTGTGGCCTTCAGATTAGCACAACAACAGTGCGTAGCGAGCTTCATGGAATGGGTTTCCATGGCCGAGCAGCTACATCCAAGCCTTACATCACCAAGTGCAATGCAAAGTGTCAAGTTCAGTGGTGTAAAGCATGCCACCACTGGACTCTAAAGCAGTGGAGACGTGTTCTCTGGAGTGATGAATCGTGCTTCTCTGTCTGGCAATCTGATGGACATGTCTGGGTTTGGCAGTTACCAGGAGAACAGTACTTGCCTGACTGCATTGTGCCAAGTATAAAAATTGTGGAGGGGGGATTATGGTGTGGGGTTGTTCTTTAGGGGTTAGGCTTGGCCCCTTAGTTCCAGAGAAGGGAACACTTAAGATGTCAGAATACCAAGACATTTTGGACAATTTCATGCTCTCACCTTTGAGGGAACAGTTCAGAGATGGCCCCTTTCTGTTCCAACATGACTGTGCACCAGTGCACAAAGCAAGGTCCATAAAGACATGGATGAGTGAGTTTGGGGTGGAGGAGCTTGACTGGCCTGCACAGAGTCCTCAACCCGATAAACCCAAGAACACCTTTGGGATGAATTAGAATGGAGAATGCAAGCTGGGCCTTCTCATCTGACATCAGTGCCTGACCTCACAAATGTGATTCTGGAAGAATGGTCAAACATTCCCATAGACACACTCCTAAACCTTGTGGACAGACTTCCGAGAAGATTTGAAGCTGTTATAGCTGTTATAGCTAAAAAGGGTGGGCCAACTCAATATTGAACTCTATGGACTAAGATTGGGATGCCATTAAAGTTCATGTGCATGTAAGGCAGGTGTCCCAATACTTTTGGCAATTTAGTGTATATACTATAGTTTGTAGAGGCTATAACTTTCACACAAACCAATATACACTTATTGGGATTTTTTTTTTTTTTTTACCAAAGACAAGCAGCAGAATAAATTTTGGCCTAAATTTATGACAAAATTTTAAATTGTTTTATTTTTTTTAAAGGTAGAAATGTGTTTTTTTTTTCATTTATATCACAAAAAAAATAAAAATCCCAGTGGTGATCAAATACTACTAAAAGAAAGCTCTATTTGTGTGAAAAAGGACATAAATTATGTTTGGGTACATGGTTGCATGACCCCGCAGTCACCATTTGAATTAGCACAGCGCAGAATAGCAAAAAATGCCCTGCTCAGGAAGGGGGAAAAATCTTCCGGAGGGAAAGTGGTTAATAAAAATACTGCACTGTTTTTCTAGGCTTTTTTCTATTTATTTCTGGGTGTATGAGGAGTCGTGAGTATTGATATCCATGAGCCCATGAGCAGAGTGATCCCAGTATTCCATGGACAGGAGTTGACATCTTATTTACAGGATCCTATTTCTAGCGCTTCCTAGCTGCTCTGTTGGCCACTGTGATTTGGACCTTCATCATTGGACTAGAAACCACCACAGAACCTTCCAAAAGTCCAAACACCTGATCTTACATGCATTTTCATAGCAATTGAAAAAAGTAATATTTTTGCAATGCCATTATATCCATCGAGTTGATTTTGGTTTTGGCTTTGTACAAGTAGGGAGATACTACACACTGCATTCATTCAAACTCTAAAATTGTTAGTATAAAAAACTGTAAAACTTAATATAGGAAATTTTAAAAACATAGACTTTTTAGGCACCACAATACACTCATAACTAATATTAGAAGCCAAAGAGGAAGTGCCCAAGAAAAAACCTAATAGAGGCAATCTTTCATCTTGTCATAATCTCAGTGCTATGCTGGATTCCGTAACAGAACACATGCAGTGTTTGCAGTCATTGTAATATAACTGAAGCATCATAGGCCTGCTTGCTATTCCCATGCATGTACATAGACTGTTTGATGCCATAGCAATGCTTATTGTCTAGGCAGATCAGCCAATGATCTCATGTCTAGTGGTCATGTAGGTGCCATCTGATACATTATTATCAAGGGGACCTGTGTATTTTTCTTTGTGAACTTTTTTATTTAATGTTTACCTCGTTCTATACATATAATCTCATTATAACAAACTATTCTCAAAGTGGAGACAACCAATCAGACAGGCTTAAAATATTTTAATCACTATAGTCCCTACCATTAAAGTGTTAGGAAACCCAGAACCCTGCAGTCACTATATCTGGTCTCCCATAGTACACACAACATGGAAATGCAATTATTTTAGTAAATATAAACTGCTAAATACCTATTCTCATCAGCAGTTAGATCAGTCTTGTGACTTACATCAATGTCTAGTAGAGCACTGCTTAAAGCTTGCAGGAGAAGTTTTCATTCTCCCCTTATTTTTTTATGAGGCTGTCCTGACCCTCTGTCTGGACAGCATTGGTTGGCCCTGTGCTGATCACATGTACTCTGCCAAGAGAAAAAAACTCTTTCTAGCAATACACACCAACTGAGTATGTGCAGCTTGCCCCCAAGGCTCTGTTCTAT